ACAGCAATTAGAAGTTCTAGTTTTAACTTTGAAAGGAATAGGAAGACAACTTTTTATCAATGATAATCAAAAGCCCCATACCTTAGATGATGTCACACTCTCATACATTTTCTCAAGCCTCTGGGTTGAATCAAGTAACAGTGATCTCATAAGCAATGATGGAGACAGGTTATCAAGAAAGCGAAGGGTAGTAATCATATATCCATCAGAAACAATAAGGTAGGGTAAACGTGAGTGTGCTTTTACAGAAAATCTCTGTCTCAGAGGGTCACTATCAGAAGCTGATGAGTCTACAGGATTATTTGAATCTTGAAATGTAAACTGCTGTGGTCTGACAAACAAACATGAAAATGTAAGAATTAGTAAGAGAAAAATCTTAAAGGAAGCAATCATATTATTCCAAAGATAAAGAAAAATGAAAAATGTTACAGAATGATGTGAAAGCAAACAGATGAAACATATCCAAAAACACTAAATGTGTATACATACATAAATACATACATACATATATATACATATCTATGCCAGGAAAATATAATATAGAGTAAAAATAGATAACTATTTTAATAGGTTTCTATGCTTTAAATACTTTTTCTGAATTGAGGTATTTACTGTTTTATTTGTAACTTATATACAACCTATCTCATAACAGAATTAAGGCAGCTTTATTTTATTAACATATGTTTAAACATGCTTATTTTATTTTATTAACATATGTTTAAATATGCTTATAGCAATATAAGTATGAGCTATCAGTATAATTGTTACTAAGGAGGGGGGAAAACTAAGAAAAAACTTCAGGAAGGATGGTAGTGGATAAAATTTTACTAGTTTAAAATTAAATTTAAGTAAGTTTCTGTTTAGGTGCACTTATGTATTGTTACAAAGTATAACTAATGCTGATTACTTAATATGACTGCTTGGAAAGTATGAGGCTTTATACATGTTCACGGGGACAAACCATCAAAATATATTGCAACTTTTTCTACTTAGGAAACTATTCACATATAGTTCTTGGGCAAGAAGCGTAGCTCAGTGTTAGAGTGCTTGCCTAGTGTGTGCAAGGACTAGGGTCAATCCCCAGAGTTTCAATAAAATAAATGAAAAACTTGTATATAATTTCAAATACAGAGTTTTATATTAGCCAAATAGTGAACAATAGGAGATTAATTATAAAATATACAAACTACAGAAACTTATGGAATCATTAAAAACAATGTTTGAGGAAGAAGATATGAGATACTAATAATTAAAAACAGTAAGACAGCAAACTACATATATAACTTATGCTAAAAAATTCTATTTCCAAATATTTTTTTCCTAAATTTAAAGGACATTAAAGTGTTTCCTTTTTGTTTTTTGTTGTTTTGGTGACAGTACTGAGGCTTAAACTCAAGGCCTTTAGCTTTTTTCACTCAAGGTTGGAGCTCTAACACTTTAGCTATAGCTCTGCTTCTGGCTTTTTGGTGGTTGATTGGGCCTAACAGTCTTACAGACTTTCTGCCTGAGCTGACTTGAACTGTGATTATTAGACCTCATTCTAAGTAGCTAGGATTACAAGAGTGAGCCACTAGTGCTCAGCAATAAACTAAAATGCTAACCATCATATTTGAGAAGCAGGATTATGACTCATCTTCTACACTATTTAGTCTAACAACATGATTTTTGGGGTCTATGTACGCCCATCCTGAAGTTTGAACTGAGAACTTGGGTGCCATTGCAGCCTGCCTGGCTAGTACAACATAATTTTTAAAATATCTTATTAGTTCTGTAATTAGAAAAAGCAACCAATATTGAAAGACCCTACAATATGAGTTTAGGAGAAAAAAGTGAAGAAATTCTAGTACATATTAATTGGACCACAGAAAGAAAAAAATAGTGTGTGTGTGTGTGTGTGTGTGTGTGTGTGCGTGCGCGCGCGCGCGCATGCCAGTCCTGGGGCTTGAACTCAGGGTCTGGGTGTTGTCTTTTAGCTTTTTTGTTCAGGATAGCATTCTACCACTTGAGCCACAGCTCTACTTTCAGCTTTTTTTTTTGGTCAGTCCTTGAACTTGGCCTGAACACTGTCCCTGAGCTTTATTTGCTCAAGGCTAGCACTCTACTACTTGAGCCACAGTGCTACTTCCAGCTTTTCTGTTTATGTGGTACTGCGGAATCAAACCAAGGGCTTCATGCATGTTAGGCAAGCATTCTACCACTAGGCCACGTTCCCAGCTTACTTCCAAATTTTTGGTGGTTAACTGAAGAGTCTTTCACATCTGTCTGCTGGGCTGGCTTTGAATCACAATCCTTAGATTTCTGTCTCCTGAGTAGCTGTGGTTACAGGTATGAGCCACCAGTACCCAGTAGTGTAAAGTAAAATACTTTTACTTTAGCAAGGAGCTTATCATTAACAAAAACACAACCACCTCAGTTTCTTTTGCCTATTTTGCTCTTTATTCATGTCTAAACACATACAATATAATCCCCTCAAAGCTAAAAGTTCCTGATCACATACTTCAAATCAGAACTATGCTTAATAATTTATAACTATGTATTATCTTACATAATTCTCTCAACCTTAAAAGACACTTATTGTCAAATTCATTTCACAAGAAAAGAAATAGAGGGGCTGGGAAGGTGGCTCAGTGGTAGAGCGCTTGCCTTGCATGCATGAGGCCCTGGGTTCAATTCCTCAGCACCACATAAGCAAAAAGAAAAAAGCTGGAAGTGGCACTGTGGCTCAAGTGGTAGAGTGCTAGCCTTGAGCTGAAGAGCTGAGGGACAGCGCCCAGGCCCAGAGATCAGGCCCCATGACCGGACCCAAAAAAAAACAAACAAACAAAAAAGAAAAGAAATAGAAACTCAAAGAATAACTTAGTCATACAAGTAATAGGTAGAAAAACAGTATTTGAATTTTGATGTGTCTGGCTTCAAAGCTAAACTGCTATTTCATCTCACAAATTAAAATTAAAACATGGCTAAATTCTAAAGTCTTCTATCCACTACCAACATCTTTTGCCCTTTGGAAAACAGTAGCTAAGTCCACGAGTCAGCTCAATTTTGAGTAATTAACTTATTTAAATGGTCATCTTTTATAAGGATAAATGTCAAATCATATTTTATCATCTTTGTTTTTAAAGAAGAATATTTAGGACTACTGAATGTTTAAATAGCTTATACTTACATAGTCACAATGGCAAATTTTCACCAGGATTAAGCCACAAAAAAGAAATAGAAGAAAACTATAAATAAGAAAATGATATTAAGGTGATAGACCCAAAGGAAAAAAAAGGTAATTTCACAGACAATATTGTTTTTCTTAAAATAGAAAAAAACACATAGTAAAAGCAGTATCTCAAAAGAGAGTATGTTCTGCAAACAAAAGCAATTCAATGTCTCACCTATATGTAATTAGTGGGTGAAGAGGAATAAATTCTGCTGGTCCAAGTTCTATAGAGCAACCAAATGTAATTAATGTTAGCAATTCACCTAGGCAAGTCAATAGAACCAGGGAACCACGTTTTAGCACACAAGCCAGAAAAAGACTATTGTGTGTCCAGCTGATGTCGCCTACCCAATAGGACCTAGAAAGGGCAAGAGACATGTTAGGAAGGGTTCTATAATCACTATGACAATTTATAATAAACTGTGTCAATCAAGGTTGAATACTCTAAACAGATGAGAGCTGAGTATGATGTACATGTATGAGGTTGTCATAATGAAACTCATTCTGTATAACTAATATGTAATAACGAAAAAGAGAAGGGGTAATAGGTAACTGTCACATACTAAGGATTTTTTTTTGCATGGACAGCTACAACAATACTTTAATTAGAAATTTCTTCGTATTTGTAACCAATTTAGAAGTGAAAATACTCCCAGAATTGAACTGTTTTGTCATTCCCATTTTAATTAGAATAAATTGTAATCCTTCTAGACTCCACCATCAAGATCCGTTAATAGATTTTATAATCATGCCTGTTTAGTCAGCAACATGCTAGCGCCCCACTCAACAATAGGTGCTTCTTTCAAAGCTGTCAGTTAATACTTCTTTCTCTCTTTTTTGGTAGTACTTGCTAACCTGGTCTTCTACCACTTGAGCCACATCTCCAGTTCTTTTTTTCTTTTTTTTTTTTGGTTGGTTGTGGGGTCTGAACTCTGGGCCTGGGCGCTGTCCCTCAGCTCTTCAGCTCAAGGCTAGCACTCTACCACTTGAGCCACAGCACCACTTCCGGCTTTTTCTGCTTATGAGGTGCTGAGGAATCTAACCCGGGGCCTCATGCATGCAACCACTGAGCCATCTTCCCAGCCCCTCCAGCTCAACTTTTTGTTGGTTATTTTCAAGATAAGAATCTAATAAGACTTCCTGCCTGGACAGGACTTGAACCATGCTCCTCTAGATATTAGCTAGGATTACAAGTATAAGCTACCCATATTCTGCAAAAGGAGATCTTTATATTTTCTAATCCCATATAGATCCTACTGGTAGCTAATAACACCAGTGTTGCTATTCATCCCTAACCCTGCCTGCATGAGTAAACAATTTGTTTCCTATATAGGCTTGTTCATTTCAACCTGCCCAATGAAGCTCAATATTGCTCTATCTACTCCTGATTCCATTTTTCCTAAGAAGATATAAAAATAATGAAAGGGCAGAATGTGATTTGATTTTACATTTCTTTTTTTCTTTTCTTTTTTTGCTAGTCCTGGGGCTTGAACTCAGGGCCTAGGCACTATCCCTGAGGTTTTTTTGCTCAAGGCTAGCTCTCTACCACTTGAGCCACAGTGCTACGTATGGCTTTTTCTGTTTATGTGGTAATGAGGAAACAAGGGCTTTGTACATGCTAGGTAAGCACCCTACCACTAAGCCACATTCCCAGTCTTGATAGTACATTTCTATATTATACTTGTATAGCACTTGGGAGGCTGGGGCAGGAGAATTTCAAATTCAAGGCCAACTTGGGCTATTTAGGAAAATCCTATCTCTCCTCTTCTCCATAAAAAAAGAAAGAGGAAAAAAATTGTACCTGTGTATTTAAGTCTTTCTTTATAGAAAGCAACTTTTAGGATTTACCAAGCACAAATGCTGACACTGTTGTAATCTTTATCTAAATGATACTTATAAAACTATTAAAGCAATAAAATTTGTAAGTTATGGAACATAAAGGCACTACTCAGAAATAAATAATTTCATACCTGAGAAGTGTAGCTGGAACTACAGGGTTCTTATTGCTACAACCTTTAAGACTTCCACAGAGACTGACAAGATTCACTGTATTTATAAATAATACCTGTGTTGCCTAGAAGGAAAAAAAGACCATAAAGTCACTAAAATTATTTTACTCTCATTAGTAACGATTATCCTAGAGATCTATTATTATATTAATGAAGTATATAGGGTAGCTTCTCCAACTGGTCAATGTTGACCCCTATAGTTCTGTAGCTTTTTGTTCTTTTCTACTCTACCTTAGGAACATTTCCTATGGTTACTTTAATACTCTTCCTCTCTCTCATTCTCTCTCTTTCTCTCTTTTCTTTTCCCTCTCTCCCTTCCCAATGGCCCAAGATAGCCTCAAACTTATGCTCCCCCGCCTTTTCCTCCCAACTAGCTGAAATAATACACACTGTGTTCCACTGTACCAGGCTCCTATCCTCCTTTAATGTGATCTTCTCCCCCACCCCCATTTTTTTTTTTTTTTTTTGCCAGTCCTGGGGCTTGAACTTTGGGCCTGGGCACATGTCCTTGAGCTTCTTTTGCTCAAGGATAGTACTCTACCACTTGAGCCACAGTGCCACTTCCAGATTTTTGTGAGTAGTTTATTGGAGATAAGAGTCTCACGGACTTTCCTGACTGGGCTGGCTTTGAATCTCAGATCTCAGTCTAGTCAGGATTACAGGCATGAGTGACCAGTGTCTAGCCCTCTTTTCACTTTTTAAAATTTATCATTATTGAAACAGCTATCACTCTGTAGCTGTCCTCTACCTCTCTCCTCTACATCACTATGCAAGCCAGGCTGACCTCCAACCCCTGATCACTTTTTTTTTTTGGTCATGGGGCTTGAACTCTGGGCATGGGCGCTGCCCCTCAGCAATTCAGCTCCTCAAGACTAGCACTCTACTGCTTGAGCCACAGCATCACTTTTGGTTTTCTAGTAATTAATTGGAGATAAGAATCTCACAGACTTTCCTGCTCAGGCTGGCTTTGAACCTTGATCCTCAGATCTCAGCCTCCTGAGTGGCTAGGATTACAGGCATAAGCCACCAGTGCCCAGCCCCCTGATCACTTCTTTCAGCCTCCCAAGAGCTGGAATTACAGGCCTGCACCACCAGCCTGGCTTTCTCTTCATTTCTAAAGACCAGCATCTAGACATTGTAAGCAGCTAATTTAAATAACTTTAGCAATCCTCAGGAGAGTGAACCACCATTTAAAAATAATTAAAGACAAAAACAAACTATCTTCAAATGAAATCTCAAAACTGGAAGTAATTCCCTTTTCTAGATTCCTTTCTATGACAGATCATATTTACTAACCTTTGGGTCTTTCTGATTTAGAGTTACTGCAAGGGTAAGGCCATCTCTTGAAAAGGCAGAAATCAGAGCTCCTCTTGACTTTACTGATTCACACTTAGGATTTAGACTACACAGATGACAGTTTTGTTGTGCCCAATGAACATGGAATGGCAATGAACTAAGAAAGTAATAAAATAATTGAACATTAAAATACTGTAATTTTCCTTTACTTATTTATTCTTTCTTTCCAAGATGAGGTCTTGCTATGTTACCCAAGCTGGCCTAGAACTCCTGGGCTCAATCAATACTCCTGCCTCAGCTTTCCAAGTAACTAGGTACAGGCATAATCCACTGAGCCTCACTCACATATTAACTTTGAAACTGATACAGAGTTCATTGCAAAAAATTAAGAGGTACACCTAAATCCCCAGAGACACTTTTGCACTTAGAGACTTTGGTTATAATCCCCAGGAGAGAGAGAGGAAGAAGCAGAGGGAGAGGCTGAGGAGAGGAGGAACAAAGGAAAAAAGAAAGAAGGAAAAGAGGGCAAGGGAGACAAATAAACAGAAAGAGGAGGGGAAAAAGCTGCTATTTTGTATAATTACTATATGGTAATAAAATTATGAAAAATAGTAGAGAATGAGAACCCTTTGGCTGTGTCAACTTACTACACTTCATATGAGTGATAGGTACATAATATTACATAAGCATATACATTATCCAAGTCTACCTAGCTGTACTTTTAACATTTATTCATTTTCACTCAGGAGGATCACAAGTGTGTGGCTAACCTGTGCTACATACTGATACCCTGTCTCAAAATTAAAATGAAAGGTTTGTTCTTTTTACTTTTTTTGCAAATTGTCTTCAATACTGTTGGCATAAAAAAATTTCTTAAAGCCAGGCACTGGTGGCTCACGCCTGTAATCCTAGCTACTCAGGAGGCTGAGATCTGAGGATCGCGGTTCAAAGCCAGCCTGGGCAGGAGAGACCGTGAGACTCCTATCTCCAATAAACCACCAGAAAACCAGAAGTGGCGCTGTAGCTCAAGTGGTAGAGCGCTAGCCTTGAGCTGAAGAGCTGAGGGACAGTGCCCAGGCCCAGAGTTCAAGCCCCACGACCGACAAAAAAAAAAAATTTCTTAAGCCTGGTGCCCATGGCTTCTGTCTTAGATCTAAGGCTGAGATCTGAGAACTATAGATTAAAGCCAGATGCTAGTTGGAACAGATAAATACATGAAAATTCTTTATTTGAGCCATGATTTCACTTCTGTCCTTTTGCTGGTTATTTGAAACAACAGACAAATGCCAGAAGTGAAGTCAAGTGAAGTGGTAGAGCATTAGCCATGAACAAACTTTCTTCATTAAATATTTTAAATGAAATTTCAGAAAAAAGAATCTATAAAGCCTCAAGAACTAAATTCACTATAACATTTAAAATGTTAAGGCATATATGGCCAAAAGATGATAGTATTTTGTTTCTAGTTTAGGATATATTTTATTTTACAATACTGGAGTTTGAAGTTCATGCTCACTAGGCAGGTGTTCTACTGGATTAGCCACACTTCCAATTCATTTTGTGGGGGAAAGGGCACCACAAGGGGACCTGTGACTCGGACTTGAAATCAAAGGCCTCATCCTCACTTGGCTTGCTTGTTCATGGCTGGTATTCTATCATATGAACCATACCTCAAACTCTCATTTTTGCTAGTTAATTGGAGAGAAAGTCTTGAGGACTAGTCTCTGCCTGTACTGGCTTCACATCTCCATTCTCCATGTCTTAACTTTTTTAGTAGCAAGTATGACATACATGAGCTACTTGCACCTGGCCTGTTTTTGTTTTTGAGACAGAATCTTGCTAATGCCCAGGTTAGTCTCAAACTTTCTATGTAGTCCAGGATGACTTTGAACTCTCTATCTTCCTGCTCAGTCTCCTTCCTGAGTGATAATATCACTACTATACTTTCCTTGATTATGTTTTAAAAGGGATAGAAAATAGGGAGAATAAAACATTTACCTCACCTTATAGGTGTAAATACATTTTCATGCCACCAAATCGCTAGAAATGTTAACTTCAGGCATTCCCCAGAATAAAAAGTAAACGAACACAGGCAGCAGTCTCCTAATAACTGTAGATAAAGTTAACATACTTTGGTATAAAATTAATTTAAGAGGAAATCAAGATATAAAAATGTATTTCTCATATAAGTAAAACAAATGAAAAATATCAGGACCCTACTTACACTTTTATTTATATTTTCTTATTATTTTAGTCTCAGATCTGTCTTTTTTATTTTTTATTGTTATTATAAAAGTGATTTACAGAGGGGTTACAATTACATAAGTCAGGTAAAGATTACATTTCTTTTTTTCTTCCTTCCCTTGTTCTCTCCCAGTTTTTATTTTTAACATTATACTAAAGGCCAAGTCTTTCTTTTTTATTTTTACTTTTTGAGCTGGAGATAGGTCTCAAATGGAAAAATCAGGTTGTAGATTTGAGGGATTTTGGTACTAAAGGAGAACTCAGGGCTTCAAGAATGCTCTCTTAATGAGCTACACTATATTCTCCTAAGAAACTCAGTGGGGCTGGGAAGGTGGCTCAGTGGTAGAGCGCTTGCCTTGCATGCCTGAGGCCCTGGATTCAATTCCTCAGCACCAAATAAGCAAAAAGAAAAAAGCCAGAAGTGGTGCTGTGGCTCAAGTGGTAGAGCGCTAGCCCTGAGCTGAAGAGCTGAGGGACAGCGCCCAGGCCCAGAGTTCAGGCCCCATGACTGGACCCAAAAAAAAAAAAAAAAAGAAACTCAGTGGGCTGGGAAGTTGGCTCAGTGGTAGAGCGCTTGTCTTGCATGCTTGAGGCCCTGGGTTCAATTCCTCAGCACCACATAAGCGGAAAAGAAAAAACCCAGAAGTGGAGCTGTGACTCAAGTGGTAGAGTGCTAGCCTTGAGCTAAAGAGCTGAGGGACAGCGCCCAGGCCCAGAGTTCAGGCCCCACAACCAGACCCAAAAAAAAAAAAGAAACTCAGTAAGAGGAACCACAGAGAAGAAATACTTTGGATTTTCTATACTACAATAGAGAAACTACTGATTTCAGTAATTTCATTTCAAAATGAACTAAGAGAATATAAAATTCAAAAAAAATTAATGTTTGAAGAGATAGAAATGCATATTATCCTGATTTTATGATTACATAATATGTTAAATTATCACAATGTTCCTCATAAGATGTGTAAACCTTGTATCAATAAAAAGTGGGTTTTTTTTATTGGTTGTGTGCTTGAACTCATAGCCCAGGTGCTGTCCCTGAGGTTAGTTTGCTGAAGTCTAGTGTTCTACCACTAGAGCCTCCATTTCTGAATTGTGGGTGGCTAATTAGAGATAAAAGTGTCACAGACTTTGATAAAAGTATCACAGACTTTCTTGTCTAAAAGCTGGCTTCCAAACATGATCCTTAGATCTCAGCCTCCAGAGCAGCTAGGATTATAGATATGAGCCACCAGTGCCTAGGCTCAATAAAAGTTATTTGAAAAGGATGCCTAGCTGAGTGCCTGTGGCTTGAGCCTGTAATCCTAGCTACTCAGGAGGCTGAGATCTGAGGATCGCCATTCAAAGCCAGCCTGGGCAGGAAAGTCCATGAGACTCTTATCTCCAATACTACCAGAAAACTGGAATGGCACTGTAGCTCAAGTGGTAGAGCTCTAGCCTTGAGCTGAAGAACTCAGGGACAGAACCCAGGCAATGTTCAAACTCCTTGATCAAAAAAACAAACAAACAGATGCCTATCATTTATTGCACCTCTAAATGGAAAAAGACTTAAAGTTATTTCTCTCTTATAGTTTTATAATATTTATGCTAGTACACTACCCTAATGCAGGTAATAATAGAGCTTCAAAATGTAATTTTCTAATAAAAGCAGGGTAGGTAATAGCTGTTGGCCATACAAACTACCATGCAACTATTTTTAATATTTCATTTCCATTTAATGAATATATTATTTATATCATTGAACATCACTGGCACTGATAAATTACAAAACAAATTATATTTTAAATGAGGGAAAAGGAAATAAAGTCCTACTGTCACACTAAAAAACATATCACAATACAGGGTTGGAAATGTGGTTTAATGGTAGAGATCTGCCTTTCACGCATAAAGTCCTGGGTTCAGTTCCTCAGTACCACATAAACAGAAAAAGCTGGAAGTAGCACTGTGACTCAAGTGGTAGAGTGTTAGAGTGTTAATCTTGAGCAAAAGAAGTTCAGAGCCAGCGCCTGGGCCAAGTTCAAGCCCCAGGACTGGAAAAAAATAAAATAAAAGAGGGGCTGGGAAGGTGGCTCAGTGGTAGAACGCTTGCCTTGCATGCCTGAGGCCCTGGGTTCGATTCCTCTCAGCACCACATAAGCAAAAAGAAAAAAGCCGGAAGTGGTGCTGTGGCTCAAGTGGTAGAGCTGAAGAGCTGAGGGACAGCACCCAGGCCCAGAGTTCAGGCCCCACAACCGGACCCAAAAAAAAATAATAAAATAAAATAAAAGATAAAAAATATATTTAGCATAATGCAATATCTTTTTAATACAATAAGTTTATAACTATTGCAATAATTGGTAGGGTCTAGAAACATACAATTATGCAATTAAACCCTCCACTAAGCAGCTTTTCAAACAGTCAATTTAACGGGCGCCCATAGCTCAAGCCTGTAATCCTAGCAACTCAGGAGGCTGAGATCTGAGGATCAGGGTTCAAAGCCAGCCCGGGTAGGGAAGTCTGTGAAACTCTTATCTCCAATAAACCACTAGAAAACCAGAAGTGGTGCTGTAGCTCAAGCGGTAGAGCACTCGCCTTGAGATGAAAAGCACAGGGACAGCACCCAGGCCCAGAGTTCACAGCACCCAGGCCCAGAGTTCAAGCCCCACAACCGACAAAAAAAAAAGTATTTCCCAAACAGTCAATTTAGAGTCCAGAATCTCAACTTCTTTCATATTCTGTTTCATTTGGATTTTACCTCATTTTTTATAAAAACTGCATTCACTGCAGCCTCTTTGTCTTCAGTGGAAGGCAAAAGAACTGTTTCTTCAGGCATGATCTGGAACCACTGACCCACCAGGGAGAGGCTTTTCGAAGAGAAGATATTCTTTGACTCCAAATATTCCCAAAGAAATATGCTTCCAGAAGGTGTTACAAAGAGAACTCTTTTTCCATTTCCAGATACATACAAGTGTAATCTCAAAGAGTTTTCTAAGAAAATAATAAGAATAATTAAACCTTCAGTGTGAGTTTTCTCAAAAAAGCATACAACTTAACTATTGTTGCAATAAGAAACCCAAATTATGTTACCATTCAGGTTGCCAAAACTGAGGTGCTACCAGTAAATTAAAAGTACAAACAAATGAATGACAGGAATGTAAACTAGATTCTGTTGGGGTGAATATGAGTGGGAAGGAGAGGAGTGAGAGAAGGTAAATGAGGGTAAAAAATGTCCAAAGTACTTTATATATATTTATATATGAAAACGTAACAGTAACATTTGCTAAAATTGTTTTAAGAAGAGGAATGAGGGGGCTGGGAAGGTGGCTCAGTGGTAGAGCGCAGTTCTTGCATGCCAGATGCCCTGGGTTCGATTCCTCAGCACCACATAAGCAAAAAGCAAAAAGCCGGAAGTGGCGCTGTGGCTCTAGTGGTAGAGCGCTAGCCTTGAGCTGAAGAGCTGAGGGACAGCACCCAGGCCCAGAGTTCAGGCCCCACAACCAGACCCAAAAAAAAAAAAAAAACAAAAAGAGGAATGAGAAGAGTTATAGGAAAGTGACAGAAGGTGTAAATTTGATCAGAGTATCCTGCATGCATGTATGTGAATAGCACAACTAATATGTACTAATAAAAAGTAAAGTCAAGAAAAAAGAGCCTGGTGCTAGTGGCTCATGCCTGTAATCCTAGCCACTCAGGATGCTTTGATCTGGTTCAAAGCCAGCCTGGGCAAGAAAGTCTGTGAGACTCTTATCTCCAATTAACCACCAGAAAACTGGAAGTGATGTTGTGGCTTAAGTGGTAGAGTACTAGCCTTGAGCTGAAGAGCTCAGGGACAGTGCCCAGGCCCAGAGTTCAAGACCTACCACTGAGGAAAAAAAAAAAAAGGGCTGGGAAGGTGGCTCAGTTGTAGAGTGCTTGCCTTGCATGCATGAGGCCCTGGGTTTGATTCCTCAGCACCACATAAGTAGAAGTCAGAAGTAGCACTGTGGCTCAAGTGGTAGAGCTGAAGAGCAGAGGGACAGCACCCAGGCCCAGAGCCCAGGCCCCACAACTGACAAAAAAAAAAAAGTAAAAAAGAGTACAAATAATAGTATCACTTATCAAATATTCATTATTTGATATTAGAAACCAATTGTTATTAGAGCAGTATTAGGCATACCAGACTATTCTTGTTCACATTGAACCTAAGTATCACAGACTTTAAAAAAAAATACCAAAAAGCTTAAAACATATAAATAGAAATATATACTCCGTTACACATACATATAGAACTACATTTTCAAAACAGTCACAGGAAAATATTTCATCCTATTTCCTTTCTGTTTTTCCCATCTAAACCAATTTAAACAAAAATTGCTCACCTACTGTAGCTTTAATCGCTTCTTTGGGCTTTTCAGTTACTTGAATCATTTTCAACCAATCTTCATCTTTGTTCCAAAGGAAAAGTTCCCCTGTAGTGAGCACTCCAGCCAGCCAGGCATCTGTTAAAATTTTTTTTAATTAATGTAATTCTTAACCTAACATCTCCCTTACTCTTACTCTAAATTATTAAAAACACAGTCTAGCCTTTTGAAAATACAAGTATTACTTAACCATTACTGGATGTTGACAGGAAAAAAATGTCCTTCAAAAAAGGCTGTAGACTAGGAATCTTCTTCTTTGTTCTTCCTGATACCAAATTAATTTCATTTATGAATTTATCATCCAAAAGAAAAACAGCTTCATTTGCCTAAGAGAAAAGGCATGTGAAAGATTTAAGTGATCCTAGAAGTTAATTCAACCTCTTGACTAAATTATAACAGAAAAGACAACAAAATAAAACATTTAAGAAAGATAATTTATACTACAGTAAGGTAAGGTCCTATGGTATCCTAAAAACTTGACATTCTATCTAAAACCAGTATCCTGTAAACTTGTCATTCTATCTAAAACCTGAAGGTAGGAAGTGTAGCTCAGTGGTAGAGTGCTTGCTAGCACGCCAGTGTTTTAGTCCCAACACCAAAAAAAAAAAAAAAACTCTTTAGAATTACTAAGTGAGTAGCTTAATAGTTTACATTGAGCTTTCTTTAAATTTTAACATCATAAACGTATCTTCTATTTTAACTAGCCCAAATAGGTTAGCTTAATGTTTAATCTCTTATTGTTAACAATAGAATGAGCAAGTGTTTATATATTATTACTTTGATTACAATGCATATGTCTTAGCCGGGTGCCAGTGGCTCATGCCTGTAATCCTAACTACTCAGGAGACAGATCTGAGGATCACGGTTCAAAGCCAGCCCAGGCAGGAAAGTCCCTGAGACTCTTATCTCCAATTAACCACCAGAAAACCGGAAGTAGCATTGTGGCTCAAGTGGTAGAGGGCTAGCCTTGAGCTGAAGAGCTCAGGGACAGCACCCAAGCCTGGAGCTCAAGCCCATGACCACCACCACCACCAACAACAACAACAAAGCCTATGTCTTTGGAAATTCATAAACCCTTTGACTGACTATTTGGGTCCTAGAAAAGGTAGGCAGTGAAATGCAACAAGTCTTGAGATTCCATCTAACCTCAGTAAGAATGACCATTACCAAAAATTCAAACAAGTGCTATCAGTGATGTGAGGGAAAAAAAACCATATTAACTGTTGGCGGGAATGTAAACTAGTACAACTACTTTGGAAATTCTTGAAAAAAACTAAACATAGAACTACTCTATGATCCAGAAGTATGACTCCTGGGCATTTATCCAAAAGATTACAAGTCAGGATACAGTAAAGCCATTTGGCACTCATGTTCATTGCTGCCAATTGCAAAGTTATGGGAACAGCCCAGGTGTCCTTCAACAAACAAATGGATCATATAAAATATGTATACACGGGGCTGGGAAGGTGGCTCAGTGGTAGAGCGCTTGCCTTGCATGCCTGAGGCCCTGGGTTCGATTCCTCAGCACCACATAAGCAAAAAGAAAAAAGCCGGAAGTGGCACTGTGGCTCAAGTGGTAGAGCGCTAGCCTTAAGCTGAAGAGCTGAGGGACAGCGCCCAGGCCGAGTTCAGGCCCCACGAACGGACCCGCCCCCAAAAAAATAAATAAAATAAAATAATATGCATACATACATGCACATAACATTTATTTGTTATAAATATACATGTGTATGTATGCATGTATATGTGTATGTGGATGTATACATGTGTGTGTGTGTGTGTGTGTGTGTGTATACACACACACACACACACACATGTATACATATAATGGAATTTGTGTGCCAAAGAAGGAAACACTTCACTGACAAGTAGGAGAAGTTCAGGAGATTAAACATTCTGAGTTAACATATTCCATTTCAACCTATTTAAACATAATATGAAACTAAAAATTTTTGAAAGTTAAAAACTTCCTCCTAAACAGACCACTACAACTTTCTGGAAAAGCTTACTTCCTCATAATTAAAACACACCAAAAAAACAAAACAACCTGTTTAGGAGGCAGGTAATCTTTCCAAATATGATGTCTTCTTCTAAGTCACAGAGTATACCTACATTTTATAGAAAAAAAAATACATGTACCATATATTAAATGGGTAAAAATTAAATAAAACTCACCTGTCCCAACCAGGAAATTCTTGGCCAGGGTTTTTTCTGTTTGATACTTGTTGATGTCAAAATTTCTAATCTTATTTCCATGCTTGGAAAGATATCAATGATGAATTAAGCAAAACCATAAGAACACACTGTAAATAACAATAAAGAGCCCATAATATTTACCATGCATTTTGATAACTATAGTTATAATTAATTCATAAATATATGTTATTTTGTCAATAACTCAAACGAATGTTTTTAAGTTAAGAAGTTGATAATTGCATTTTATATCTGGACCACTCTGGTAAAATGTATTTGCTTTACAAGTTACTTTTCAGACAATGAAGATAAATCTAGGAAGGATCTTAATAAATAAGTTTCCATGTGATTTGCCTTTCTCAGTAGTCAGACTGTATTTTGCAGAGCTGGCCACATCTCCCATCTCACAGGCCTTGTGAGTGACTCTGATACTTCTCCCATTTAGTACTGTGGTCTCTGCCTCCTCCTTTGAAGCTGGGCCAGATTTTGTGACTGTTTAGACCAAGATAGTACAATCAAGGTAATGCTATGCATTTTCAAAAGCTAAATTATAAAAGGTAATATAGTTTCTACCCTGTTCTCTGAATAATATTCATGAAGACACAATAACTATGTAAACAGGCATCCAACCCTCAGCCTAAATTGTGCAAATGTCCAGACTGACAGCTGTGCTGCCTCTCACCTATAATCCTAGCTACTTAGGAGGCTGAGATCTGAGGATAACAGTTCAAAGTAAGCCTGAGCAGAAAAGTCTGTGAGACTTATCTACAAAAAGCAGAGATGCGTGAGAGCACTAGCCTTGAGCAAAAAATCTCAGCAATGGCAATAAGGCCCTGAGTTCAAGCCCTAAAACCGGTGCATGCACACATACACAGGCGCACATACACAATGAAATCCTAAGACAAGATGAACTGAGAGATACCTGGAAAGCCCGCCCACTAAGTGTGAAGGATGATTATGGTTAGAGCCAAATCAAAATGAAAAAGATACACAAGTGGTGTGTCCCAACTACACATTCAGAGCCAGTGCAGAGCAGGGTGGGAGGAATATAATCTTGGAAGAATGTCTCATTCAGTGTTGGAAGAACCTCACTGGAGCTCAAGTACAAAGAGACAGAGAAATCATTCTGTATTTTTTCCTGTTCTCTCTGTCTCTCTTTGGTGCTGGTACTGGGGCTTGAACTCAGGCCCTCATGCTCTCATTTGACTTTTGCCACTTGAGAAACACCTCCATTTCTGGCTATTTAATTGGTGGTAAGAGTCTCCATAGACTTTTTTGCCCAGCTAGCATTGAACCATGATCCTCAGATCTCAGCCTCCTGAATAGCTAGGATTACAGGCGTGAGCCACCAGCGCCCGGCTTGAAAATCATTCTTGAAAAAGAATATCACTGATCAAAATGAGAACAGTATGAACTCAAGAAAAAAAAAATCACATTGATGGTTTTAAAATAGGAAATGGACTCATGTAAGTAGAATATTTGATGAAAATAAGGTATTTCATAAGAGCCAGGCAAACTCCATTAAATTCAATGGTCAAAAGGAACAACATCAGAAATAAGACAAATAGAAGGAAATCACACACTACCCACCTAAGATGTATATGCTAAAGATACATAAACTAGGGGCTGGGAAGGTGGCTCAGTGGTAGAGCGCTTGCCTTGCATGCCTGAGGCCCTGGGTTCGATTCCTCAGCACCACATAAGCAAAAAGAAAAAAGACAGAAGTGGTGCTGTGGCTCAAGTGGTACATTGCTAGCCTTGAGCTGAATAGCTGAGGGACAGCACCTAGACCCAGAGTTCAGGCCCCACAACCGGACCCAAAAAATAAATAAAAAAATAAAAAAAATAAAGATACATAAACTGACTCTAATCACACACACACACACACACACACACACACACACACATACAATCAGGTGAAGTCTACATTGATGGACATTCTACTAAAGAAATGATCTGTACCATCACAAATGTCAAGATACATAAATGGAGCTCAGGGACAGCACCCAGGCCCCTGAGTTCAAGCCCTATGACAGACAACAAAACAAAACAAAAACAGGCAAAGTCCACGATACTCTAATCTCCAATAAACTACTCAGAAAAAGGCAAAAATGGTGTTGTGACTCAAGTAGTAGAGGACTAGACTTGAGTACAAACAGGCTCAGAGACAGCCCCCAGGCCCTGAGTTCAAGGGTTCAAGTTTCAGAACAGGCAAAAAAAAAAAAAAGTGTCAAGATCGTAGAGGTCAAGAGAAGACTAGACAACTAAATTCAACGAGTAATTTATAAACTTTATCATTATGTTATAAAGGATAATACTGGACAATTGGAAGAAAAACATATAGGAAGAAAAACTGAGGATTAAATGGTGGTTAATTAATGTAGTTTTCTTATTTTAGTGGTTGTCCTACAGCCAGGTAGAAGAATGTCCTTATTTACAGAATATCATACTGGCATTCTACAGCCAAGTAGAAGAATGTCCTTATTTACAGAATATCATATTGGCATTCGGTGGTACAGGAAACGCTGTTAGTCATTTATTAAATTATGATCAAAGTTCTTTGTACTGTATTTTCAATACTAGTTTTCTGTAAGACAGAGACTATTTTCAGGTTTTTAGGTGGGAGGGTTTGTTTCGTTTCACGGATACTATGGCTTGAACTCGGTTTCTGGCTTCTACTTGAGCCACAGCTCCCTTTTCAGCTAGCTTTATGCTAGCTTTATGGCGTAAGTCTCATGGACTTCCCTGCATAAATTGGCTTCAAACTGTGACTTATTGAGGATTACAGATATAAACTAACTACTGGTGCTTGAAAATGTGAGATTATTTTAAAAGACAATTGGAGAAAACTGAACAGACTCAGTGAAAGTCAGGACAGTCTATCAGCGACACTGTTCTTACGTATTTCTTTTCAAATACGTGCTCATCCTTCCTCGGTGAGAGGCACAGTACGCGCTCAAGTATTTTACACCAAGGATTACTCTAGATGTGTGAAGTTTTGCAGTGAGGTTGGAAAGGATAAAATGGCCCCTAACCGTTCAAGATCGAAGGCCGGAGCTGCCCAGGGGCGGCCGCGACGGAAGGCTCGTTTTGCTGTACATTCCACTGGCTCTTCAGATTCCGCTGCTACTGGATAGATAACAAACACCAGGAAACAACAGAGATAAAAATGACAGTCACACGGAAAACACCATAGCAATTCGAAGAGACTCGGCAGTACCTTTATTTTTACACAAATCCATGAATGCAATTTCAAGTTTTTCTGGGGTTTCAACCACCGAGGAGTCTAGAAAATCGCGTCCATGTCTCCGTGCTCACTTCATCACCTACTAGGGTCAAGCACAGGGGTGATCTCGTGGCGAACTGGCCGGGGTCACACAAAGGGACCCCGCGGAGGTGACCCGGGCACCGCTAGGCGGCGGGGCGGAGGCGCAGGGCCCGGGGCGCGGCCCCTCGGGGGTCCCGGCGGCGGCAGCCGGGGTGCGCGACGGCGGCCCGGGCCCTGCACGGGAGGCCGAGGCCGGGAGGGAGGCGCCAGGCCTCGGCCGTGGGGACGGTACGGGGTACGGAGAGAGAGCGCGAAGAGGCGGAGACGCGGCCATGCAAGGCAGGCGGGGCGGGGGAGGGCGGGAGAGGTGCGGGACCGGGGACGGGAGACGGGGAGTTACCTCCGCCCGCGCGGGAAGGGCCGGCGCGGCGAGCGATGCGGGCGGCGCGGTGGGAAGCAGGCGCCGCGGCTGGGCGCCAGCCTGGGTGCGAGGCGGCGTCTTGGAGACCGCGCGGGGCGGGGCGGCGTCTGCTCCTCCCGCCTTCCCCGTCCTTCCCCCCCCTCTTCCCTCCCGCCGCCCCTCTCCTCCCCCTCCCCCTCCCTCGGTGCGGTCCCCCGGCGTGCCGGAACTCCAGGGCCCGCTCCACCTCAGCTCTCTCATCTCCTCACCCCCCTCCTCCTCTGTAGGGTCTCCACGATCTTCCCTCACTCCACCTCATCCTCCTCCTCTCCCCACTTTCCTTCCTCCTCTCTCCATCCTTTCCTCTGCCTCCTCCAAGCTAGAAGTAGAAATAGGGAAGATCGTGGTCCAGGTTATCCCAGGCAAAAAGCTGACCTGTTTGTTTGTTTTTGTCGGTTGTGGGGCCTGAACTCTGGGCCTGGGGGCTGTCCCTCAGCTCTTCAGCTCAAGGCCAGCGCTCTACCACTTGAGTCACAGCACCACTTCTGGCTTTTTTTTCCTTTTTGCTTATGTGGTGCATGAGGAATCGAACCCAGGGCCTCATGCATGCAAGGCAAGCGCTCTACCACTGAGCCACCTTCCTAGCCCACGCTGGCCTGTTTGAAACATCAACAAAACCTTAAAGGACTGGGGGTTCAAATGGAAGGGCAGAGCAGGCACAAGGACCTAAGTTCAAACACCAGAGGAAAAGGGGAAAAGCAGTTGTGAAGAGGAAGGTGAGTGGTAAACTGTCAGCTCCCCCCTGTAAGAACATTCAAATTTTAAGATACACCAACAGAGCTTTTCCAGGCCAAATATAGTTTTAGGTATGCCCATGTGATCCTAGTCCTCAGCCAATTGGGTGGAACAGACCAGAGGCCAACGAAGTGAAAACAGCAAATAAGTTGATAGCATAGAAAATATAGCATTTCCTTTTTGTTAACAGATAGTGTGTATATGCATGCTGGCTGGTACTGGGACTTGAACTCTGGGCCTGGAGGCTGTCCCTCAGCTCTTCAGCTCAAGGCTACCACTTGAGCCACAGCGCCAGCTCCGGCTTTTTCTGCTTATGTGGTGCTGAGCAATTGAACCCAGGGCTCATGCATGCAAGGCAAGCACTGTTATCACTGAGCCACCTTCCCAGCCCTGTCCCTTAGCTTTTGTGCTCAAGGATGGCCCTCTATCATTTGAGCTACAGCTCTACTTCTGGCTTTTTGGTGGTTAACTGGAGGTCAGATTTTTCTGCCCAGGCTAGTTTCAAATGTCCATCTTCAGATCTCAGCCTCCTGAATAGCTAGAATTATGTGCATGAGCCACAGGTACCTGACTTAACCTGCAGCAGTTTTTAAAGATACACTTCTAAGGGATGGGCTGTAGCTCAGCGGCAAAGTACTTGCCTTGCAAGTGCAATGTTCTGGGTGCAATCCCCAGTACCACAAAAGGGAAGACCACCCTCACCAAAGATGTACCTTCAATATTGTAATATATTGCTGTGTAAATGTGCTCAAAATAATCTGGAGATAAAAATATGTATTTCTAACAGAAATAGAGGCATATCTAAATTATAGCATTTAAGCAAGATCTTCATTTTGAGTAAACATGACAATTTCAAATGTACAAAACCAATAATACATAGCATACATTCATTTTATACTTAAAAAAAACTAAGCTTAAGAAAATAAAAATGAGAAATGAGGTAGTCATACCAAATGAGTAATATTTTGACATTCTAGTAAATAGAAGACTGTAGAAGAGCTAAGAAAAAGAAAGCTGAGGCATTCCAAAGAGAAAAAAAAAAAAGCTGAGGCATTTCAATAACCTTAGGGAAAAATAAAAGAGAAAGCAAAAATATATTCAAGATGTATTTTAAAAACTTTTTGACATGCACCCAGTGATATAATAAATAAAACATAGTACAACCAATAGCATAAAAAGGAAAGTAGAGTCCATATTTTTCCTTTTGTTAGCCCTAGTCACTTTGTTTCCTCCTCACTTGTCCTTATTATTGTGAATCACTTTTAGTTATTCCAAGTTGAACCACTACTAAATATCCCCATGCTGCTGATCACAAATATGGTATATAACATGTGAACACTGTTATATATTACAGACTGTGGTAGACAATTTGCTCCAGGGAAGTTAGAATGAACTTGTGACTTTGAAATTATGTAATCATTTAATCACAATCAAAAAAAAAAAAGAACCTCGGGGAAGGGAGGGAGGGAGGGGATGGTAGGGGGAAAACAATGGAGGGGGTAACAATGTTCAAGAGGAAGTGTACTCAGTACCTCACTCATGTAACTGTAACCCTCTGTATAGTAGCTTTACAATAAAAAAAAAAAAAAGATGAATTGAAGGGATAGCAATGGCGTGCTTTCCTTGCAACTACTAGGTTCAATCTCCAGCACCACAAACACATACAATCACAAACACATTCAAAAAGTAGAACACCAAAATTGTGCTTTTCACTTTGTACATTTGGATAAAGTTGATATGTTGTGGTTACTAAGGAAAATAGCAGACAGGAACTCAATCCATAAACTACAAAAAAAAAAAAAAAGATGGACCTGAACATGTAGTCATTTGCAAACCTGCCACGCACGGAATCCTATGCTGGACATCATCCTAAGCTTTTTATTTGGCAGATTCGAGGTAAGAATTTTTTTGTGCCAGTACTAGGGCTTGAACATAGGTGCTGCCCCTGAGCTTTTTTGCTCAAAGCTAGCAAACTACCACTTGAGATACAGTTACATTTCTGGCTTTTATGATGCTTAATTGGAGATAGGAGCCTCACGGACTTTCCTGCCTTGGCTGGCTTTGAACTACAATCCTCAGATCTCAGCCTTGTGAGATCCTGAGCTAGGATCACAGGCAGGAGACACAAGTACCTGGAAGGTAAGATTTTTTTTTAAATGAATTTCCAGTGATGATGATGATGATTGCTTGAAGCACACTCTGAGCACCAGAGCTCTAAATGAAAAAGTTGTCAAAAGATCAATGAAGATCTAGCTAGACACTAGGGGAAAATGGTATCTTCTTGTATATGTTTTTCGGGACATATAACAGTTCTAAGTTTATCATCTGCTCAGTCCTTGTCTTAAGAACACACATGATCTTATTTCAATTGTTTCTTAAACCATTTCTTTTGGCGTGTGGGGGTATGGTGCTGGACACTTGAACCAAGGGCACTGAACTATACCCTCAGCCCAAACTAATTACTATAAAAACCAACAGTAGGCATAAAAAAGAATTCATCTGGCAAATGTGCTGTTTGTAGATATTAGCCACTTTTAAAGAACATATTTCTATTAAAATTGTATCTAAATTCTTAGATATAGAACACCTGATTATCTGGACCCAGCTAAAATTTTATTTTACAGGCTGAAATTTGTGGGTAAAAATGCACTACAGTAATTAATGAAGCCGTTCTAATTTTGCTTGAAGGGATTTAAAATTCCCAGTAATAGCTTGTACTGTTGCTGAAGAACTCATTGATTGAAGTTCAACCAGATACCCACAGACAGCATCCAGGCATAGATGTGTAAATCTTCTTCTGTAAAGGAGAAGACACCTAGTCAATATCTGTACATTTAGAATCATTTCCTTTTAGAGGGTTTTCTGATACTATTATTGTCTCATAAAAACTCCAGGATAACCTGACTAAATAGCAATACTTGAAAACAGAGACAGAAACTTTGATAGGAAGTCATTTACCACCTAACCATTTTTCCATTTGAAGATTATAGTGAGGATTCTTCCTAATATTCATTTATTTACATTCTTTTGCCTTTTCCAAAAGAATAATTCTTAAAATAGCAATGAGATCACAAAGACATAATTGAAATGTTTTAATCATAGGTTATTAATTCAAAGCAGAATTTGTGTGTGTATATGTATCTGTCCTGAGGCTTGAATTCAGGGCCTGGGCACTATCCTTGAACTTGCTCAAGGCTACTGCTCTACCACTTAAGCCACAACTCAGCTTCTGCCTTTTTTGGTGGTTAATTTGAGGTAAGAGTCTAACAGAGTTTGCTGCCTAAGCTAACTCTAAACTGTGATTATCAGATCTCAGCCTCCTGAGTACCTAACTAGGAATACAGGTGTGAGCCACTGGTGCCTGACAAGAAATTTCTAACTACTTAATAAATTGTGTTCACTTGTAAAAAGGACTTAGGACAATGGTTAAAAATATTTTTCTTTTCTCCAAATATTTCTTTATTGAGATTAAGTGACTACATAAATTTCACAATACTATGGCATAGTTATACTTAGCTAAAGTCACAAACACATTTTAACCTTTACAATGAAAATCATCATTACCTATGATGTGCAGATGCACATCATCTGAATAGTCATTGCTAATGTACTTAAGCCCTTAAATCCCCTATACGTCTTCGTGACTCCTGTATCTTCCTATACTGTCTCCAAATTCATTACCCAGGTTATTTACAGAAACATTTAAAGCTTTTGAAAGCCTTTTTTTTTTGTCAGTCGTGGGACTTGAACTCTGGGCCTGGGCGCTGTCCCTCAGCTCTTCAGCTCAAGGCGAGCGCTCTACCACTTGAGCTACAGTGCCACTTCCGGTTTTCTGGTGGTTTATTGGAGATAGGAGTCTCACGGTCAATCCTGCCCGGGCTGGCTTTGAACCGCGATCCTCAGATCTCAGCCTCCTGAGTAGCTAGGACTACAGGCGTGAGCCACCAGCGCCCGGCACATTTAAAGCTTTTGAAGAATACAATAAAAAATTCATAGTTACCTTTCACAATTTACAACGTGGCTAGGATTCTCCACATATTTTGTTAAAAGTACATGGATACAATCCAAAAGATGCAATGGTTTCTTCACTCTGTTCCAGAATGGATCCTACAAAGAAAAAAATAAATATATATCCTTAAGACTCTTATCTCCAATTAACTATTAAAAATTTGGAAGTGGAGGTATGTATCAAGTAGTAGAATGCCTGAGTTCAAGCCCCTGTATTGCACACCTTGTCCTACCTCCATTAAAAAGGGCCTTGGAAAGGATACTATGAGCCGGGCGCCAGTGGCTCATGCCTGTAACCATAGCTACTCAGGAGGCTGAGATCTGAGGTTCACGGTTCAAAGCCAGCCTGGGCAGGAAAATCTGGGGACTCTTATCTCCAATAAACCACCAGAAAATCAGAAGTGGCGCTATGGCTCAAGAGGTAGAGCGCTCGCCTTGAGCTAAAGAGTACAGGGACAGTGCCGAAGCCCAGAATTCAAGCCCCACAACTGACCAAATAAAAAAAAAAAAAGGACACTATGAACTGAACTGAATATATGGGGCATATGACCGTGATCCAAATTCTCAGATGACTTTAAGCAGAAAAATACTGAGTTCTAGGCCCATGCAGACTACATGGCAAAACACTGTCTCAGTAAAAGAAAAACTAAAATCAACAGCAAAGAGTAAAAATAGTAAGAGAAAGAGAAAGAAGAGCAGTAGCATTGTTTGATGCTGTTATAAAAACCAAGTCAAATTAAATGGAGTTTTAAACTTTCGATATAATTCAATATACTTGATGTTTTTGATGAAGTTATTTGGAACAAACATTGATATTTTGTTCTTAAATAGCAAACCCTACATTTGATCCTTAATAATGAAAAAAATTACTAGCTAATAATTCTTTTTTTTCTTGGCACTGATATTTGAAATCATAGTTTCATGCTTGAGTTTCATGCACTCTACAGCTTTAACTATGGCCCCAGACTTGACAACTCTTAATATTGTGGATTTAAGCCATATCTTGGTTTAGCCTATTCTACAAAGAGCAAGTATATATAGTTAGGTATATAAATATTAAAAATATTAGCATTTCATTTTAATGATAAATGCCAATGCAACTTTCATCAGTTTAAAATCCTTAACGTATAATTTCCAATACTTAGCCAATAAATACCTGTTCAAACTATTTAGATATCTATAATATGCAACCAAAATACTTCACACAAAAAAATTTAAAAAAAAGAAACCCAAAATACCTCACACTATATCTAGAAAAAAGTTCTTTTACAGAAATTAATTTTATCACATTTAATATTTTCCTTACCCGTGATTTGAACAGTTGATCATAAACTTCTAGTAGTCGAGGTAATGGTACTCCAATTTCATTCATGGTCTGTATAACAAAGCCCACATCCCAGTTCAAAGTACAAACCTGCTGCTCTAAAAATTGTATAATAAAATCTAGGAAAGGAAAAAGAACAATTTTTTTTTCATTCTTGATACTAAAAGGTAGCTCTTATTCATAATTGAGTAATTTCTAGAGGAAAATCTTTTTTTTTTATTTTGAAAATACTGTACAGAGGGGTTACAATTACATGGGCAAGATAATGAGTACATTTCTTATCAAGCATTGTAGCTTCCTCCTTTGTTTCCCCTTCCCATCCTCCCTCCTTTGTTTCCCCTTCCCATCCCTTCCCATCCTCCCTCGAAAATCTTAAACTCAAAAACAATTTTTAGGAGCTGGAGTTATAGAATGGTGGCAAAGTACATACTTAGTATGCACAAGGCCCTACGTTCAGTCTTCAGCACCCCAAACAAAAAGAAAATTAAGACATCCACCAGAATAGGCAGTATAAACACAGGACAGAGATTAGTGGCTGCCTATGGCTGGAGGGTGAGAGAGAATGGGAAGAGACAAAGAGTAAAGGATTTCATTTTGGATGATGAAAACATCCTCAAATTAAATTATGGTAATAGACCTACAAGTTTGTGATATGGTAATCCATTAAATTATACATATTAAAGGTACTAAGAAGAAATG